TTTATTTTTTATTTTGGTTCGAATTTTTGTTCGAATTTTTTTAGAGTAAAAAAAAAATATGTCTTACCCACCATTGGATGAGTTAGATTGGGAAGATCTTGAGATGTTGGAAGGTTTGGAAAGAGAGCTCACACCATGGGAGAAAACATATCTTGATGAGCTTCATGAGCGAAGGAATATTGAAGAGTACGAGCGTCAACTCATGGAAGCCCGAGAAGCAATGGTGATCGATGCTCATGACCATGAAGATGAAGGAGAGCTGAATTTTCTAATCCTTGAGGACAAGGAAAGTCTCAAAGAGGAGGGGAATGATATGGATGTGGTCATCAACCCAGGCGAGTCGGAGGATGAAGGTGGCGAAGGTCTCGATATTTGGCTAGAGAATATGTTGGAAGAGCCATCTAGTCCTATTTACCGACCATCATGTGTGAGGGATTGGCCGAAAGGATGCGGTCCACGATTTAAACTTAATCCTAAGAAACGCAAGACCAAACGAGCTCGAAGGAAACACAAGGCAAAAGCAAAAGAAGAGAAGTGTTGGTGTAAGCCTTGTGCAAGGAAAAGGCGAGTTCGCAAGATGGAGGTTCAAAGGCGGGGACAACAATGACTGGAGGATGGTTGGATATGGCGAGCTGGTGATTGTATTGGGTTGGGTGGTTGGGATCCATGGCCGTCGGGAGAGCTAAAGGAATCGGGCGAGCACTTGAGGTCGGTTGGCGACGAGGGTGCGAGCACGGGCGAAGAACGCGCATCGTGCCGTGATGCGCGCAAGGGGTCGAAGGGTCGAGACGATGCACGAATGAGTGGCGTCGAGAAGCTGGACGCAAGCAACGCACGATGGTGCGCATCGGGAGAGTCGGCAACGGAGGTTACCGGCACGCGGATGGCAGCGGGCGTACGCGGGAGCGTAGTAGACGAGCAGGCCACGGGGACGGCTGGGACGCGCAGTGCAGCGGGTGCACGGGGATGCGCGATAGAGAATTGGAGCGCGGGCGGTAGCTGGGACGCGCGGGCATCACGCGGAGAATGGATGGGGCGCGAAGGGCGCGCAAGTGGGCAGCAAGCGGGCGCGCGACACAACGCGCGTGAGGAGATCGGCGAGGGCAGGCCGTACGTGATGGCGCGCGAGTGGGACGACGCGGACGGTGTCCTAGGCGGGGAAGGATTAGGC